ACTTGCACTTACACTTGTGCATGGTGGTCATGGGGTTGCTAAGCTTCTCCTTGAGCTAAGGGATTCAATGGAACCAGCAGATCTAGAAGTCAGAGATGTAAAGAAACAAGCAAAGGCAAGGGGAGTAGCAGAAAGACACAGGTTTACTGCCTGGAATACCTTGCCAAGGGTGTGATGCTGGACAAGTTAAAAACACTCTCAAGCCCCTATTCCTTATGTAGGATTTTTTCCTAAAGAAATCATTAGGCAAGTGGGTGGGGTAAGGATGTTTGCATGGATGATAATCTAGAATGAATGTGTGAGACACATGTGGAACTATATGAACTAAAATGGCAAAAGAACTTTTTAGTGAATGCTTGAGTTATAAGGTTGATTCTTAATTCTCCTCTGAGTTTACAGATTTTTTGCAAGCATAAATTATTTGAATGATATTGTTAAACCTTATACTTATAAAAATATAAATTCAGATACTAGTATCCATCAAAACAGCAGGAAAAGAACTAATATTATACACAACAATTGCAAGGGTAGAAGAAAACAGGACTTTGTATATGCAAGCTGGAGTGTAAATGGTTTCTCATTTCTTTGAGTCATCTAGCAATACATATTAAAAGCCTTTGAATGCTTACTTTCCTTTCATCCAGCAATTCAATTTACAGAAATATGTCCTAATATGAGAAAAGTGTGCTACAGCACAAGAGTGTTACAGTACAAGTTCATTCCAAAACAATACTATAAAAGAACATGAACAAATCAATATAAACACATACACAGAGATATAATCACGTCTGCTTGAAACCATAGAATACTACAGTGTTCTACAGATCTTTTTTGTACTATTAACTTTCATTAATAAATATCATTCTATATCAATACCTGTTAATTTATCTAATTCTTCAACTTTCATGGTCTAGTTTTACTGCAATTCATAAGGGCAAGTACATCACTGAACACAGAGGCACTTTCAAATTTTCACTTTTGCAACTGTTTTGTATTTACTGCAGTCTACTTGGCTGGATATACCTCTAGGATGAGTTCCAAAAGGCAGATTTCTGGCAAAGGGTGCTTAGAGCACTACTAATTGAGAGACACTGAGAGTATTAGGAGTTTCTCACGAACCTCTAAACGAACCACTGCTCCCTCCCCACCATCTAAAATAGGATGGGGATGGGTTGCACGAACTATTTGGGCTCAACAGACATGCTATAATACACCCCAGCTGCACCCTCTATTGTTCTCTCTCTCCAAGGCTGGCTGTTGGGATTTCTGCCAACTTCGGGTGAGGGTAATAGTTGTGGATAGTAATACCCCCAGGCCTGGCCCACCCCTAGACCCACAGGGCTTGTACCCTAGGTCAGAAGAAGGCCAGAGTACTCCCTACCACCATCACCTTACTCTGGAGCACACACCTGTAGTCAGCATGTAACCCTGAATCTTTCCCTTCTCCAGGTATTGGAAATGGGCAGGGTCATCATTCCACCCACTGCATAGCCATAGCTGTCACCTCACCACAGCCTTGTGTCTATGCATTCTGTTCACAGCTGGCCCAGGTAGCATTTCCCACATTTCTCCCATGGAGTTTCTGGACAGTCTGCAGATAGCTAACCTTTGACCCATGCACCACCTGGGCCTTGAACTTGACACCTGCTCCACTTCACACTGGGTGCAGTTGCCAGTTCCCACTCTTGATAATCATCTCTTGACTGTAGCAAATGGATGAATAAAGGGTCTTTTTCCCCTCTGCTAACCTGAGGAAGGGCTTCCTTGGTGGCCCAGATGGTAAAGAATCTGCCTGCAACGCAGGGGACCCGGGTTCGATCCCTGAGTCAGGAAGATCCCTTGGAGAAGGGAATGGCAACCCATTCCAGTATTCTTGCCTGCAGAATCCCATTGACAGAGGAGCCTGGTGGGCTACAGTCCATGGGGTTGCAAAGAGTTGGACATGACTGAGCGACTAACACTTTCACTTTCAACGTGAGGAAGGGGAGTGTGGAGGGACATGAGGGGATGCCTTGTGGCTCCCCTCAGTGGTCCCAGCAACACAATTGCTGTGAGGTTGGGTGACTTTATACTGGGATTTAAATAATGACAAAGACCGTGGGACTGGCCAATTCTTTGTGACTGAATTATTTCTAAGGAGCAGGTATCACCTGTGTCATAGAACAAAATCAAATCATATCTACAGTCATCACAGTGATACAAACAAGGGCTTGGGAGTGCCTGGCTGTCCTTGGTGAGAATACTTGCTCTGCACTAATACTGCTTGAGGATGAGGTTACCCAGGAAGGCTTGCAGCACTAGGCAAGACAGGGTTTCTTTTTCAGTTCAGCCTCCAAGCTCTCACACAGAAATGGCCCCAACTTTCCTCTAACTACTTTGCAGTGTCGTGGAGAAACTTGATCCTACTCAGAGAAGATAGCTGCTGCATATAGGCAAAATCCCAATGTTAGGAAGCTGGGCTGCAGATAGCCTTTCAAGGAGATAAGAAAAGACTAAGAGTCAAAGAAAGTGCTTTGCATGAGAAGAAACATAAGACTGAGGTCAGCACCCACAGTTTATGCTGATTAAAGAATGTGAGAACTCAGTGCTTCTTAATAAATTTTTATTTCATACACATAAAAAAAATCTGAGTTGTAGAAGTAGCTCCTGTGTGTGTGTGTGCTTAGTTGCTCAGTTGTGTCTGACTCTTTGTGACCCTTTGGACTGTAGCCCACCAGGCTCCTCTGTCCATTGGATTCTTCGGGCAAGAATATTGGAGTGGGTTGCCATGCCCTCCTCCAGGGGATCTTCCCAACCCAAGGATGGAACCCTTGTCTCCTTTGTCTCCTGCACTGCAGGTGGATTCTTTAACCTGCTGAGCCATCAGGGAAGCCCTTGAAGTAGCTCCTGATTAGATATTAAAACTGGTGATCTCTAATTTGTGAGATTAAGAAACAATCATATATTTATACTTGGCTCTAAATAACCTATATCTTATTTGTATGAGAGGATGAGGGAGAGGGAGGGAGAAAGGGTGGGGTGTGGTAATTCTATTTTTGCCACAGGGGATCTTTTTAATTTTCAAAGAATATGTGCTTCTCTAAAGGTAACCTGTAGGGCCCAGGAACTGTCCTGGACATACAAGTACAGAAAAGGTTTTTTTTTTTTTTTTTTGAGGGAGGAGGGGGTGGGGAAAGGCAGGGAAAATTCCTTCCTGTCCTGTAGGTACCCAACTACCTTTGTTCACCCAAAGCAGGAACAGTGGGCTGCTGTCCTCCTCCCTTCTCCTCACCCCACCTCTTCCCTGAGAGCAGAGGACCAGACCACCTAAGTGATGTTGAAATCCACCCAGGTGCACCAGGCACAAAAGACCTACAACCCTGAGGGCTGAATTTTATCTGCTGGGTTACCCTTGGAGAACCAGATGTCTCTGGAGCCCTGGAAACTGTTGACTTCAGAAAAACAAAGAATATTTACTGTCTGAGAGGAGAGTTGGTGGTGATAATACTGGTAAACTTCTCCAAAGCCTCCCACTTCTACTGGGATCAAGTTGCACACACACAATGCTACATAACCAGCTGTGTCTAGTTAATAACAATGTGAGCAGCACCTCTATGACAGCAAACGTTTAGTATTCATTTTGATGGGCAGCCATATCTCAAATGTGCCTCAGTTTACCAATGTATCAAGTCTGTGACCATGCTTTTACAAATTAAGCTGCTTTGGAAGTTCCATGTATCTAGGTCTTTGTTCACATGCAAGGTAGTTACCTTAACACAAAATTCCAGAACAGAAATGTTGGCTCATAGGACCGTTTAAGGCTTCAGTTTTATTTGGATTTATCAACCCTTTTCTTACCATTTTCTGGATCCCTCTTGTGCTTAAAAATGCCTTTGCACTCTTTCAGATCCTAAAAGCTTTCACACACCTCTGGGGAGACTAAAGACTTCCTTGAGGGCCACCGAACAGCTGCACTGAGAGAATTTGGAATGTTCAATCAGGGTTGGGAATGTTCTAGATAGAGAGGGACTGGAAAATTTTTGGTGTGGAGAAGAAAAACCCTTTTTGGGACTGGGATGTAACACTCTTTCAGGTGGGGCGGAGCCTCTACCTGGTCAGAGAGGGCTGGAACCATAGCCCACGTGACATATACATAACTACGCCGGTGCGTGGGAGTTACCTTGCACACCTCCGAGGCTTGGGCTTGGCAGGTGGAGTTGACTCTGCAGAGGTCCTGTTTCGGCGGCAAGGAAAGGTAGGTAGATTTTCATTCCCTTTCTGATTCTCCACCAGGTGCTCCACCAGGTCACAGCTGGTTTGTGAACAGATGTTAATGAGTGAGTATGAGCAAGGGGGATTTGGGAGGGTGGGTGCAGTGCAATACTTGGCTTCCCAGGAGGAAGATCCTCAAGGTCGTCATTTTTCTCTTCACCAGGCATTGTGGCTATGGACCTTTGCAGTGGGGCAGAGCAGGGGAGAATGGTGGGCCAGAGGGGAGAGGGGTAGTTGAAAGAAAAGCGAGTCTTAGGAGCATTACTTGAGATATCTGAGCACCGGAAGCACCAGAACTGGCAACAGAACATATATCTGGGAGTCACTCTATTGCGGAGAGGGGGAACCAGCCCACGCAGCTCACGGGAGACAGAGTGTGCATGCCCAGGGTTGTGTGCCTTCCCATCGGCCCTTGCAGTGAAGCGTGTGCAACGTGGTCTGGGCGCCAAGCTTTGCGGGTCATGTTTTAGCATCTGGGTTCTTTCTACCTGGCTGAGACTGACCAGGTGGGTCCACAGATCAGTCCTATCTGGAGTTTAAGTGTGCGTGCATGTAAGGGGGAGCCAGCGGGCTTTAAACTGGTCAGGCGGTGTGGTCTTTAGCCTTTTGAGGAGGAAGGTCCTCAAGGTCGTCTTCTTTCTCCTCTCAAGTGTTGCGGCCGCCATAGCTCTTGCTCTAGTGGTGGAGGAGTGGAGTGGGGGAGGGAGCGGGGCAACGGTGTCTCACAGGAGAGAGTGCACATGCCCAGGGTTGCGCACTTTCCAGTCTGCCCTTGGGGTGCAGCTTGCACAACGTGGTCTGGGTGCCGAGCTCTGCGGGTCGCATTTTAGCATCTGGATTCTTTCTACCTGGCTGAGACTGACTGGGTAGGTCCACAGATCTATCTTGTTTGGAGTTTAAGTGTGCGTGCATGTGAGAGGGGGCCCATGGGCTTTAGACTGGTCAGGCAGTGCGGTCTTTAGCCTCTTGAGGAGGAAGGTCCTCGAGGTCGTCGTGTTTCTCCTCACGGGTGTCACGGCCGCCATAGCTCTTGTCCTGGTGATGGGAGAGTGGGGCGGGGAGTGGGGTGATGGGGGTGAGGTGTGAGGGGGAGGTGGGCGGGGGAAGGCAGGGGGTCAGATGAACGTGGGGAGAGTCACGGGGGCGTTATTTGCTGTATCTTGGTCCTGGAGGCACCAGAATTGGCAACAGCACAGATACGGGAGTCTTGGGGAAGGGGAGCGGGGCGGGGAAATGGCTTAGCCTTCGTGGCTCAGGGTAGATGCAGTGCGCATGCGCAGCATTGCTCACTTACCCATTGGCCCTTGGCGTGAAGTGTGTGCAAAGCGGTCTGAGTGCCGAGCTCTGCGGGTCACGTCTTAGTGTCTGGGTTCTTTCTACCTGGTTGAGACTCACCAGATAGGTCCACAGATATGTCCTGTTTGGAATTTAAGTGTGCGTGTGTGTGTGAGAGGGAACCACTGGGCTTCTGGTGGGTTGGGCGATGCGATCTGTGGCCTTTGTGGAGGAAGGCCCTTAAGTCGTCGTCTTTCATCTTACAGGTGTTGCGGCCGCCATACCTCTTGTCCTGGTGGCGGGAGAGGGAGGGTGGTGCACAGAGGAGGGTAGGGGGTCAGATGAAGGGTCGAGTCTTGAGGGTGGTTTTTGAAGTACCTGGGTCCTGGAGGCCCTGGAACTGACGACAGCACAGAATCCAGAGTCGGAAATGGTGAGGTGTACATGGCCGTATATTACAAAATCTCTCCATATTCAAGGGTTAGAGAGTGAGATCGAATTTCTTTAGTAAGGTCATAATTTTTTTTTTTTAAATCAAGTACTTGAAGGTCCTTTCTCTGTCAAATTGGCTGTGAGAGAAATAAAGGGGTTTGCAGACAGCCTTATTTGATGTTATTAATAATGTTATATTGTAGCAAGAATTTCCAGCCAGCTTGGTGATAGTCCAGTATAGTGTTTTAAAATTAACTACATTCTCCAGTTCACCGTTTTCTACTTTCAGTGTGAAATATGAGTGTACGAGTAAGATCAAGATCTAGAGGAAGGGGAGATGGTCAAGAGTCTTCTGATACGGCTGAAACTGTGGCTGTAAGTGCTTTAATATCTTACTTCCATTAGCAGAAATTAATAAAAGAAAAATTTTAAAGTTGAACTAGTATAGATCTGTTGTACAAAGGACTATCTTGCTGAGAATAGTTGAGTGATGAATCTCATGACTGAGATATAGAGCAAGGAGACTTATGTTCTGGTATTGCTTGGATAGGTATATTGATATGAGCCTGGAAATCATTCCTATGACTTCTCTATTGTGGTTATTAATAAATAACACACAGTCCAGAAAAGATGAAGACAGTTTCCAGAATTACTGGTCCTTGTAGATAACTCCTTTCTTAGAGTATTTTCTCTGTAGGAAGAGTAATTTTGTTAAGAATACTTAGATAGAAACAGGAAAAGCCTCTTCAGATTGTTGATTAGTTACCTCCATGTAGCATGTGTATTTTTGTTTTCTCTTGTCACAGTATTAATAACAATACTTTTTATTTGCCCCTACTCTCCCCACAAGGCCCAGAAACTAGGTGGCAAAAAACCTCAACGCAGCGAACCACCAGCTCAGAATGTAGACATTGAACCTGGACAAGAGAAAGAAGGAGGAGCGTCTGTGGTTCAAGGTAAAGAGGGGATGGAGGGACCATCTGTATTTCATTTATGATGTTTTACCCGTGACAGGTATAAAGGGTTCCCTGAGAATTGGCTGGAAACCTGTTTGGTAAGGAAAAGATATATTTTTCAGCTGACTGCAGTCCCTCTCTGTGATAAGTTTTCCCTCCTTCAGCATTTTACTCACCTATGTTTTAATTTGGCATGCTTGGGAAATGCATTTTTTCCAAGGCCCTAAATTGGCAAATCAAAGGAAGCAACAATAAATTTTGACAAAATTATACCCTATTTTACTAGTTAAACTCGATCTTTTTGGAATGTTGTTTTCAGGGCTTCTGAAGTCATTGAATCAAAAGTTTAAGCAAAACTAGATATATTTTGGTTAGCTCTTAGATTGTAATTCAAATTTATAATGCAGAGAAATAAAAAATGTGAAACCCTATCGTAGTTGCTACTAAAAGTTTTCAATATTTTTATCTTCCTGAACCATAACCTAGTTGTCACATATTTTTTTTAACTTTTTACTTAGAAAAGTTTTAAAAAGTACAGAAAAGTTGTAAGAAGGCACAGTGTACTTCTGTATCCTCTTTACCATGATTCCGCAATTGCTAATATTTTGCCATATACTAGCCTTGCTTTAGGTATTAATATACATATTATTATTGCCAAACCATTTTAAGAGTAAATTTCAAATACAGCTCTTTACTCTCCAAGTAATTCAGTAAGTATCTCCTAAAAACAGGGATATTTTCCTGCATAACCCAGTACAGGGATCAAATACAGGAATTTAACATTGAGAAAAAATATGTAGTCAGTTGGCCTAGTAATAACCAGTTTTGTCAGTTGGCCTAGTAATGTTCTTTATAGTGTTATTTTTTTCCTGACCCAGGATCCAGCCCAAGACTACCCATTGCATTTAGTTGTCACCTCTCTTTGAACTCCTTTAACCTGGAAACGTACCTCAGTATTTGTCTTTAATGATTAACATCTTTTGGAGGCCAAACCAGTTGTTTTCATAAAATGTTCTTCAGTTTGGGTTTGCTTAATTTTAAAGATTCTCCCCCCCCCCCCACTCATTTATGAGGTCTTCTTGGTGGCAGGTTAACCTTGGGTGCTTGAGGATATAAATACAAACAAGAATGATTTCTGCCTTGAGTTCACAATCTTGTCAGAGAAATTCATGTAAACAGTAGCCGATCTAATGAGTGCAATAGATATGTATATAGGTTACAAAGGAGACAACTAAGTTTGTTTTAAACAGTTTTAGAAAAAAGATTCATAGAAGAGGTAATATATGAAAAATACAATTTCACTTTATAATAAAAAACTTTAGTGCTCATTGCATTTTTATGTATCACATTTAGGGCAATGCTAACCTCCAGTGCTTTATTTAATAGCATTAATTTATAGTTTGCCACTTATAGTAATAACTCTCTATTTATATCAGAACCTGAATTGGAAGATCCCCGCCAGGAAATGGATGTGGAAAAGATTGAAGGTGAGCTTGGAGATGGCCCTGATGTGAAAGGGAAGATTCCGCCTACTGTGGTGCCTGCTAAAATTCCAGAAGGAGGTGTATTATCTATTAAGAATGCAAGCTGTGAAGTGGTTGTTTTCTACAGTATTATACTTTAATAACAAATTGCACATATAGAGATTATTTGAAAAGTAGTTCAGACACAAAACACTGCATGAGGAAAAAAATGAATTGTCAGGTCCATGTTGTTGAATTATAAAACATGAAAGAAAATATTATTACTTTAGAGTGGAAGTTCTTTTAAACCCAAGGCAAGTTATCAAATACTTCTTTTTTTTTTAATTGGATTTTTAAAAATTTTTTATTAGTTGGAGGCTAATTACTTTACATATCAAATACTTCTTAAAGTACATAAATTAACATACTTCAGTGCTACTTGGATAATTTTATTTCAACTGAAATCACTGTCAGTTTTTGCTCATTCCTTAAATTATCTTTAAATAGGCTAGTAGGATTTAATCTGTTCTGGGCTTGATTAATCTGTCTCTTCACACCACCAAAAAGAATGATGTATTAAAAAAAATTAGTGCTCATATGCCTGAAAATGTTCATTAGCACGGAAGCATGTGCAGTAGTCAGGGTTCTGGTTTTAGTTTCATTTTATAAAACCCAAACTGTAGTGTCTTGTGTACCTTTTTTATTATCTAAGTAAAGTTCTAAGTAACATACCACTGTTACATTTATGTTTTAGGTGATGGACAGTGAGAAGTTAAAAAGAAGACAAGCTGAAGCCATACATACTGTTATGTTGATTATTTGGCTTGATCAGTTCTCTCAATAAAAATTTGCAGCTTCTTGGAAAAAATCATGCATGTCTTTGGTCCAGTCTGTTCCTAGGAAGTTGATACTATTGTAAGTGGTATCTCAAGATCCTTCATGTTATGTTTAGAGCTGGTCTGTAGAAGTGCTTTTTTTTTTTTTTTAATAATTTTGTATCGGCAACTTTGCTAAACTTATTAATAGTTTATGTCTACTTTCTTTTGGATTTTATACCTACCCAATCATACTCTATATAGTTTTGCTTCTTCCTTTTAAATCTAACTTTTGTTTCTTGTCCTTACCTTATGACACTGGCTGAACCCTTTGAGTATAGTGTTGAATAGAAACGATGATAGTGGACATCTTTGTCATATGCCTGACCTCAAAGGGAAAATTTTCAATGTTTAACTGTGATGTATGCTACAGGTTTTTTTAAATTAGATCTCTATTAGATCAAAGTTCCTGTTTACTCCTAGTTTTCTAAGAGTACTTACCATGGATATTTGTTGAATTTTATCAAACACTCATTCTGCATCTATTAAGGTGATCTTGATGTTTCTCCACTAATCTGTTAAGGTGGAGTGACCCTTTTCTGTATTGTTGGATTCCTTTCCTTAATGTTTTGTTCAGGATTTTTGAATATTTATGAGTTAAATTAGTCCATAATTTTTTAATGTACTCTACATATTGGGTTTTGATATCAAGGGCTATTCTGGTTTTATAAACTGAGTTGATATAAATAGCCCCTTTTTCTGTTTGCTGGTAGAACTCATCTAACATTGGAAATATTTCTTAAATGCTTGATAGAATTCGTCAGTGAGGCCATTTGGGCCTGAAGTTCTCTTTTTAGGAAAGTTTTAATGATTCAGTATCTTGGTTTCTGTTCTTAAGTCAGTTTGGGTAAGTTTTATTTTTATAGGACTTTGGCTATGTTATCTAAATTTTCATTATAAAAAGTTGTTCATAATAGACTCTTATTATCCTCCTAATGTCTGCAGAATCTGTAGTGACACTGCCATTTTCATTCTTAGTACTGATAAATTGTGCCTTCTCTCTTGCATTTTTATCAGCCTCACCAAAGGTTAACTGATATTTTTGACTAGTCTTTTCAAAATAAAACCAACTTTTGGCTATACTGATTCTATCATGTTTCATTTTTCACCTTTATTATTTCTTCTTTCTCTATTTGCTGTTCTTTTTCTAACTGCTGGAGATGTTTAGCTTATTAATTTTCAGCCTTTTAAGCATATACTTTAAAATTATAATTTTCCCTTTAAATAGGATCTTTAGTTACTCAACTCAAAATGTTCTAATTTTATTTCTGATTTCTTTGGATTTTAGATTACTTCTAAGTTAACTTTAAACATTTGAACACTTTCTTTTTGTTACATAGCACAAATAACTGATAGAACTGTTTATAAGAGACACAGCTAAAACACAAGAATTCAGAAAAGAAAGTAAAAGGATGGACAAATGATATCACTACACAAAATAACTAAAAATAGGCTTTAAGATAAACAGGCATTGCTAGAAATAAGGGATACTTCATGTAGAAAAATTGAATTTATTGGAAAGTTTAACAACAGTTTTAAATATGAATCTAATAGCATGGCTTCAAAATGTAATAGATTGGCAAAGCCAACAAGGAGAAATCAGTAAGGCTATATAAGATTTGTACATAGTTTGTTGTTCAGTCGCTCCATCTTGTCCCACTCTTTGAGACCCCATGGACTATGGCACACCAGGCTCCTGCACTACCTCCTGGAGTTTGCTCAGATTCATGTCCATTAAGTTGATGATGCCATCCAACCATCTCATCCTCTGTTGCCCCCTTCTACTCCTGCCCCCAGTCTTTCCCAGAATCAGGGTCTTTTCCAATGGCTATTTGCATCAGGTGGGCAAATTATTGGAGCTTCAGCATCAGTCCTTCCAATGGAAATCCAGGGTTGATTTCCTTCAGGATTGACTGGTTTGATCTCCTTGCTGTCCAAGTGACTCTCAAGAGTCTTCTCCAGCACCACAGTTCAAACGCACCAATTCTTCAGTGCTCAGCCTTCTTTATGGTCCAACTCTCACATCCACACATGACTACTGCAAAAACCATAGCCTTGACTATATGGACATTTGTTGGTAAAGTGATATCTGCTTTTTAATATACTGTCTAGGTTGGTCATAGCTTTTCTTCCAGGGAGCAAATGTCTTTTAATTTCATGGCTGCAGTTACTGTCCATAGTGATTTTGGAACCCAAGAAAAGTCTGTTACATGTTGTACATTATAATTAACAAGGTTTTATCTGACAGAAAACTCAGTATTCAACAACATATTCAGTACATTCTTTTTGGTGCAGTTATTTATAAGAGGACATACACTGCATTTCAGTTCTTTGAAATTTGTTGAGATGTGTTTTATGACCCAGCATATGGTCAGTTTTTGTAAAAAAAATTCCATACGTGCTTGAATGTATATTCATTGTTGAACATGAGTGGTGTACTCTGCCTAACTTCATATTCCTATCCTTTACTTAAACTTCATAAGATTATTATGATCTGTGGTCCCCTTACCTTGATAAAGCAAGGAACCCTTGGGCAATGGCTTCAGTCTTGCTGCTTTCCTAACTCTCCACTCAGCCTGTAGGAAACTAGTTCATTCTTGCCATACCCGCAGAGTGGTGGTAGAGCATGTTCCTAGACTGGTTTCTTTTCTCTCAGCTGTCACTGGCAGCTCTGCAAGCCTTTCTCTAAAACCACTAGGCAAAGACTAGGCTCCTGTTTCCAGGGGAAATATTTCAAGCTCTAAAAACTTGGTCATCACATTTCATTCTGGTTGCAGCACTAGAATGGGTCTCTGATTTTCTATAGCTCAGTGAACTTACAGATGGTGAGATGCCAGTCTTCCTTTTTAAATATGTTTCAAATGTCTTTCAGTGGATTGTTTAGCTCCCAATTCACTTAGTTTCAAATGGGGTGGGTAACTTACCCTCTAAAACTTAGTGCAGAGAGGATTTCTTTCACACCGGCCCTCACTGAGTTGACAACTCACAATTTAGGTACATTATTTTCAACAAGTCCCTGTTTAAGGAGTTTTCTTTCTTCTTCTTTTTTTTTTTTTTTTTGGTTGTACCATGTGACATATGAGATCTTAGTTCCCTGACCAGGGATTGAACCTGCACCCTGTGCAATGGAAGCATGGAGTTTTAACCACTGTCCAGACCTCCAGGGAAGTCCCTGAGGAGTTTTCAAACTTACACTAATCTTGTTTTTATGTAGACCAGTTAACCTAGCAGGATGAGAAAATGTATCAATATTATCCCTTACTCTTTTAAATGTTGTGTTAATTGCTTATTGTCCTGTTGTCAGTAGGCATTTGGATATAATGAATTTAGTAAATTTGGAACTCAGGATATAGATAGCATTTGAAGCCATGAATCCACATGAACTCACTTGGGTAGAGATTACATAAAGCTAGATTACATATAAGAGAGCTAGAGGCAGAGCCCTGGAGCACTCTACAAAAGGTAGAACTTAAAAAAGATAAGAAAAAATGGCTGCCAGAGGAAGAAACTAGGTGAGGTATCAAAATCTTAAGGGAATAATAAGTGGTTGGCGATTTAAAATACTGCTGAGAGGTCACGCAAGAAGGGTAAAAAGGAATTTACTGTTAGTTTGGCAAGACGTGTCACCAGAAACCTTGATATGAGCCATTTTAGTGGGAGTTATGATAGAGGGGAAAGCCTGATTGAAAAGAATTAACTGAGAATGGGAGGTGAGCAAGTGGAGATAGTAATTATAGAAATTAATTTTTTATTGAGGTACAGTTGATGTACAATATAAATTACAGGTGTACAACAGTGACAATTTTAAAGACTATGCTCTGTTTATAGTTATAAAATATTGGCTATATTGCCTCTGCTGTAGAATATATTCTTGTAGCTTATTTATCTTATACATAGTAATTTGTACCTCTTAATCCCCTACCTCTATCTTGCCCCTCCCCCTTCCCTCTCCGCACTGGTAACCATTAGTTTTCTATGTCTGTGAGGCTGTTTCTGTTTTGTTATATTCACGTGTGTTGTATTTTTTAGATTACACATAAGTGATATCATACAGCATTTGTCATTCTCTAACTTGTTTCACTTAGAATAACACCCTCCAAGCCTGTCCATGTTGCTGCAGATAACATTATTTCATTCATTTTTATGGCTGAGTAATATTCCATTACATATATATATTGCTATAATATATAATGGAATATATTCCATTATAATGTGGACTTCCTAGATGGTGCTAGTGGTAAAGAACCCGCCTGCCAATGCAGGAAACTAAGAAATAGGGGTTTAATCTCTGAGATGGAAAGATCCCCTGGAGAAGGGCATGGAAACACACTCCATTATTCTTACCTGGAGAATCCCCATGGACAGAGGATCCTGGTGGGCCATAGGGTTACAAGGAGTTGAACATGACTGAAGCGACTTAGCACACATATATTATATTTTATATATAATGTACTATTACTCAGCCATAAAAAGGATGAAATATATAATGGAATACTACTCAGCCATTAAAAAGAATGAAGTAATGTCATCTGCAGTAACATAGATGGACGTGGAGGGTCCCCAGTGGCTCAGTGGTAAAGAATTTGCCTGCAATGCGGAGATACAGGAGACTCAGTTTCCGTCCCTGGGTTGGGAAGATCCCCAGGAGGAGAGCATTGCAACCCACTCCAGTACTCTTGCCTGGAGAATCCCATGGACAGAGGAGCCTGGTGGGCTACAGTCCATGGAGTCAAAAAGGGTCGGACATAGCTGAAGCAACTTAGCAGGCACTATTCACCACATTTTCTTTATCCATTCATCTATTGATGGACACTTAGGTTGCTTCATTTTGGCTATTGTAAATAATGCTGCTATGAACATTGAGATGCATGTACCTTTCCTAATTAGTGTTTTTCATTTTCCTCTGCTAAATACACAGGAGTAGA